TGCATTATTTGTTCTTAATTCCATTAAAAACTTATGCTTACTTAATCATAAGAAAGGATTGTTCGAATTTCTTGTCATGTTGCTCACACCTGAACCAACCTGGAAAAATTTATATGCACATGAAAGTGTTTTATAAATACAACATTAAAAGAACATTAAATATATTTACCATAAAAGGATTTGCATGATATGCTGGAAGAGTAGGTTGCCACACTTTATTTGCCATTAATTGACTAAATTGAATTACATCTCTGTTACTGGATGGTCCAATACCTACCCATTGTGGATCTGAAGTGTTTACAATGATTTAATTTATCTTTGATTTCTAATATACATTATTCTATGTTATTTAAACAGAATCTTACCATTATTCATAGGAAATTGTACTGGCTTAAACGGATTAATGGGATTACATAGAGAGGTATCAATTGATTGTGTATTATTATTTACTACATTAGCTGATGGTCGCCATAAATCACCAGTAGCAAAAGGATTTGATATTACATGTGCAGTTTGATTTCCAACATTCCAAATTGAATTTGAAGCTAAGAAAGTGATGATAACAAAATAAATTTTATATATACTGATAAATTAAATTTATTGTATAAAAAACATATGTATACCATTATTAGTATTCCATGTAGATGTATTTAATGTTGTTATAGTTTCATCTTTTAGTTGAGTTTGCTTCATTAAGGAATCTAAATCTTTCAGTGCTGCATAACGATCTTCGGATGGAGGCATATTTGTTCCATTTGCATTCATTGCATTTGTAGAATTTATCGTAGATTGATTAAAAGGGCTTAACGATTCAATATCTAAATCAAAATTAATAATTATTAATAAAATTATATTACCCTAATTTACATAATAGCATAGTAAAATAAGTTTATAATTTACTTGTATTTTTTGAACTATTAAAAATAGGATTGTTGTCAAAATTGGCAAAAAATGGCTGAGGTACAATTGGTTGACTGACTTTGTTCGCAGGTGCTGTAGTAGTAATAAATGGATCAGGAACTTTGCTGAAATCAGCTACAAAATCAGCTGAGAAGTTATTAGAATTAACTGACTCAGAATTGCTTGATTTTGTGGCAGATATAGGAGATAAAGTAGATGTCCCGGAGTGTGGGACTCTTGGAATGTTAGTTTGATTTGATGATTGTGACTTTTGATTTGCCATGGATGGATCCAAATAGTATCTTTTAAATTCATACTTTGCACTCATTAAATCTTTCATTTTTTGTTCGTCTTTTGTATCTAAGATTTGAGGAGAATTTGGATTCATTAATCCCAACCATGTCCTTCTGCAATATTCATTACCACGTTCTTTTATAAAATCTATTTCTTCTTGAGTAAATGTTGCCACAGAAATAGATTTCACTCTATGTGGTGGCGTCAAACCCCGTCTGTAATATTAAATAAAACTAATAATATTAGTATATTTTATG